TAAGTTTCTAAAGAAACTGTGGTGCTGCGTTGGAGAGGGTAACAAGGTAATTTGGCAATATCAATTAAGTTGAAATTGTAATTTGGCCACCGTAAAGAGTTAAAAAGCCGACGTTTCGAGCGTTAGCCTCTCGTCAGAGCGAATCGCTCTGACGAATCGCCCTTCGTCAGACTGACGAAGGGCTAACGCTCGAAACGTCAGCTTTTTAACTCTTTACGGTGGCCAATTTACAATTTCAACTTAGCTGATATTACCAAAAAGCAAATGAAACAACCCTTAGCGCATTTTTGTATGTTCAGTGAAACAAGCTTAGATGATTCAAATAAGAGAATTCTCGCTCTTTATCCCAATTTTTGTCAGGAACATCATCTGACTACTGGCAGCACGTGTGTCTCTTCCTGAATTTCTCAGAAAAAGTATAGCGTGGTCAGTGCATGATTTAGTGAGCGATTAACCAAGAAAGCATGTCAAGCGTGAAAAGAGACGCGGTACAATTATTCTTGCTTGTTTGCGACCGCTTCAGCAAAAACTGACGGAGCCAACCTGACAAAGTTTCCTATAATCTTTTCAAACAAAGCTAAAACATGTTTTGAAGCTGTTTTGCTCAACATAGTTTGGAATTGGGTTCATATGAATTCTTTGACGGTATTGATATTTACCGACTCCAAATTTAGCGGAAATTAAAATAAAAAATAGTGATCACTTCAACCCTGTGTAAAATTCAGTTTTTCCGTATTATATTGCATTGAGTTAAACCTTGTTCATTTAGAAATGTCCAGCTTGGGTGAACGGGGCATAAGTTTGTTTCTAATTGACGTCCTGTTGGAGCCTTAATCCTTGTGGTTCGTCCATTCTATCGAATAACAAAGCTCACGTCTAAGGGATAAATAAGGGGAGGGGGGGAATTGGGGTCTATCAAAAACCGCGAAATTGTTGATCCAAAACCGCACAACCGATAAAAATCGAAACCGTCAGAGCCGATAAATTTTCACATCCTAGTTATCAAAACTCAAATCGATCTGATACAGAGGTGACATGTGGAGCATACAGGGGTTTCGCGGCTATCTGAGATCAGTGGAGGCACATGATTGCCGCTCAGATCGAGGAGAAACCGGAACGCAAACAGGAAAAATCGAAAACCCATTAGTATTTTTGGCGAAAACTGAAAACCAAATGCTAAAAAACCGTAAAATACGCAAACCGTAATGAACATCAAAATCGAAAAACCGAAGCACAAAACCAGGAAAACCGAAATCCCAATCCTCACAAATCAAAATTAGTCTTTCTTTTCCAGTGAAAATTTGCGAGGTAGGACATCATCAAACTCGTGGTTTTAATGCATATTTGGCATAAAATAATTGAATTTCGATAAGCTGGCCCTAAATTTTACGTAAAAGAATCGAACGAAGAAAGAAACTATTCGCATGTTGTTTATCTATAATTGTTTACTTGTAACGTCTCAAAAGTTATTTAAATTATTTCTGCTTTGTTATTAACTAGCAAGTAACACCATTATTTTTACTCGTGGCAGCCTGAGGCGAAAAACTTTCTGTTCTAAAGAACTGACGACAAAAGACTGAAAACACAATTAATACAAAGGAAAAGAGAGAAAGAAAACAGATAATACGGTAACAAACTACTTGAATGCCACGCGCATGCGTTCTTGAACCACAGATCGCGTGACCTCCACGAAGAGCGCCTAAGATCGGAACTAACGGCATATTTTCCTTTGTGCGGGCCTTACCCAAACCTCCAAAAATTGGCTTGAACCGGAATTGTTTCAGTCTCTGGTCCAAACTTGATGTATCGTTGAACTGATAATTGCAATCTATTGAATGATTTCGTGTTTATCGCCTGGCACACGTTTTCTTTTGTCTTCGTTTTTTTTTTTTTTTTCTTATTTTTTTTATTCAATGTCAATGTTAATGTCGATTCTGAAATAACGATCATGAAAAGGGAAAGAAAGAACATTTTTAAAAAATAGTCCTTAATTTTAGCTTGTCCCAACAATTTTCACAGGTTAAGAAAATTTTTCAAGCTTATGTCCCCGGAAGGGACGAAAAAATAAATTGTACGAGGATATTCTGTGGTCGAACGTTAATTTATTCTCCTTTCGTTATACTCTTGCCAGTACAAACAAACGGTTAGATCTTAAAAACCCGGTTTGCTTCCTATAACGTAATTGATCGCTAATTCTGTAAATCTTGTCTTGATTCCAAGACAACCTGGAGACCCCGAAACTGAACGTATTTCAGTGGTACTAACTTCATTAAAATATATATTTCGGGATACACTTCGTTTCGCAATTCCTTCAGTTAACCTAGCTGTAATTTCAAGTTTAGTCAGATTTCACAATAGGCTCATAATTGTCTCCAGGGCAAACTATGAAAGTCTGCACTAAACATACTTTGCGGTAAACAAAAGCCGAAGACAACAATAAATGCACGAAGGAACACGAATAAAACGTTGTCGCTACTTTTCAATCATTAACGCAGTACTGAACGATTTCTGAGGTATTAAAGATTTTAGTTCAACTCCAAAGAAACTTCAAAAGAGCGGGAGATAAGATAAATTCATCACGGTCCACATCTTGATTTCACGTCCAACGAAAAACACTTTGCTTGAATGCTACTTGAATGTACCTCTGTACTTTGCAAATCAGTATGAATAAATATAATTATATGCCCTGTATGCGAAAACATCTTTTCAAAATAAGGCAATCACGCAACGAAAATTGTACTTCAAGTGACAAAGCGAAAACAAAGGTCTTCCATAGTACAATCCGCGGCAGTTGCGAAAAGCATATTAAAAAACTCAGAGCGACGTGATTATGCAAAAGAGCAGTAATCACCTAACGCTACATTAACTTCATTGACCCATGATAATCAAGTAAACCATGGTAAATGTCTTGCAATCTAAATCAGAAATTAGTGAAGTTTATGAAAAAAAATTTTACCACATTTTGAGCTGAATTAAACAAAGGCCTCCTGTACGAAATCGTCTACGGTCGATTTCTGAAGTCCAATTCTCCAAGGCAATAGTCCTGGATATTTTGGTATCATCAACGGTAATTGTTGCCCAAAATCAATTTCTCAGAATTTAATCTGTTCATGTTCTCCTTCAGCAGCATCGTTGAAATATATACAAATAAATCCAATGAAGCCTTACACTGCTGTAAAAAGTAAACTGTTTCACATATCCTTTTTACAGCAGTGTAAGGCTTCATTCGATTAATATGTATATAGCTCAGAATTTACCTAATCAATTATTTTGTTTGTATACAAATATTAGAAATTTACGGCAGCCATAACTTTACCTCGAACACTTCAAGTGGATTTCGCAATTAAAGTTGATTACTTTGAAAACTTTCTCAGCCAACAGCTGAGTTTCACTACAACATGGAAATTTCGATGGAAATTTCCATGTAAATAGAAGAGAAAGAGACAACATACCTGATCTCGCTTTGTCCAAGTTTTCTGTTCGTCCAAGCCGCAGGCTCGAAGGCACCCTGCTGCCTTGTGTATGCTATGATCCAAACATTCGATAAATGCTCCAGCGATAATGAGCGCCCCTACAACAACTACAGTGATTTTTGCAAGCATGGGGTTTACTGTCACTCTATAAAGACTTGCTACAGCTAAGGGCGCGTTCACCCAGTAGCAACGTGCGACTGTTTTGTGATGCAGATTTAACTGCATTTTGGTGCTTCTCGTTTCACGGCTGGATTAATCTGTCACTTTTCACTCCAAAGGTTGAGAAATAAATCATCCTCGTCGACTTTCCAAAAAACATTCTCTTCTGAAAAAAATTCCGGCGAAATTTTTTTTCAGATTATGGTCAACGGTAAATGAAATTGTTGCGAATAATGATCTAGAGGAATCTTTTCAGTCTGCGTATAAGCGTTTTCACAGCACAGAGACTGCCCTCTTGAGGGTGCAAAATGACGTTCTCTTAGAAATAGACAATCAAAAATGTGTTGCCATGCTATTGTTGGACATGTCTGCGGCGTTTGATACAGTCGACCACGATCTACTATAGAACAAATGGAGAAACGCTATGGAGTAAAAGGAAATGTGCTAAAATGGTTTCGATCCTATCTCCAAGACCGAAAACAGTTTGTGATAATTGATGGAAACAAGTCAAAGACGAAAGAACTTCGGTACGGTGTTCCCCAGGGATCAGTACTGGGTCCGATTTTATACTTATTATACACTTCACCCATTGGGGACATCATCAGACGGCACGGACTAAACTACCATCTCTACGCCGATGACACCCAGCTCTATCTCCCTTTCAAGCCCAACCCAGCCGAACAACCCAGTTCTATAGCAAAAATAGAGGCATGTGTTTCTGAGATAGACTCATGGATGGTGTGCAATAAACTGAAACTAAACAGAGGAAAGACGGAGCTATTGATCTTGAGCGCACGACACCGTCCATCCCCATTAGTAGAGTATGTTGATGTGTCTGGTGAGCGGATCGAGCCATCTCCCTCTGCAAGAAACATTGGAGTTATCTTCGATGAGCACATGTCATTAGATAAGCATGTCACTAGTACCTGCAAAGCCTGTTTCTTCCACCTTAG